GAGGAAGACTAGGATGTTTCTGCTTGAAAGGAAAGCCATGAATAATCATAAAGCAAGATGAAATACCTTTTCAACCCACTGGGAGTGGAACTTCCTCCTGCTGAAGTTGGCCTGGCTTCACCACGGTGTATCTGATTCCCAGTTCCAGACCTTGAATTTTACCTGGCTGGGACAATGATTCGGTTGCTACTCTTCTTTGGGTAGAAGTATGAATTCCCTCTCTAGCCATCTTTCTCTTTCTCATTTCATTGGAATAAAATGAAATACAAAGGAGAGAAGGAATGAACTCTTTAAAGTTAAATCATACTCCTAGAGTAACTCTTCATCCTCTTTAAATTCATTTTACAATCCTGGGTTGCTATGACAACATGATGTAACTCTGTATTACCATGGCAATCTGACACAACTTTCAAAAAACAGTAAGCACTGTTTCATTCTGTTGTTCAGTTGCTCCCAAGGAAACATACTGTTATTTACTTCTATGATGCAACCTGTACTAGATCGTGTAATAGAGCTACGTCGAAAAAAACAAAAGCCAAATTATGGCGGAAATTGGAGGGAAAATATGCCTACATTAGCCTTGTACGGAGTGAGACCTTTTTCCTTACTCCTAAAGAATCTGGAATTGTAATGTTTTCCATTTGAAGAATGGAGAGTACTCCTGTATACTACAGGATGACTGCTCATGCAAAATAGGATTGGGCGACCTTGCCAGCTACTAAATGTCTTTGAGCATCACCATTTGCAATTTGGAAATGGAAGTCTTTCCAAGCCCTTTCATTGGCAGAACTAAAGGGCTGTGGAGAAACACACCTAATGAAGAGGAGCTGGTTAAACCCAAGCAATGGACGATACTGAAGTAATTGCTGTTTCAACAAAGCTCTAGAGTGTCCAAATGTTTGCTTGAATTGAGCCTACTACTACTTCTTGAATTATCTGACCCCTTCCTTATAAGGGTGTCGCTTAGATCCTTTCACGGATGATCAGTTCTAACTGTCGGGTTGTAATAAAAGCCACGATTTGAGATTTTCTTCCCAACTTCTCAAGCCACACAGAGTAAATCAATAGCAACATCCGTTAGGGAACTAACTTCAGCTTGTCCAACCGTGGGGTTGCATCTGAAGATCTATTAGCTCTAATCCTTACAGTAACTAAGCGATAGCAGGTGCTATTTTTACTATGTTGAATAATAAAATTACCAATAAGAAAGCCTCACAAACTATCAGCAGGACCCAGTGCTTGCTGGCAGAATTCCAATTTGAACTCATTTCCTTGGTCTCCAAAGTCTAATCACGTTGAGATCCGCGGGTTGTTTTTTGACACAAGACAGTCCAGCTCTTTCTTAGGACGGGAAGTGACATCATCTGTTACAGCACCTGGTGAACGTGAGAAGCCTGCCTACCTCTGGAGCAGCTTTCTTAGCTTTGCAAACAGGTAACTATTCCGCAGCACAATTAGCAGTACCAAAGACAGAAAAATAAATCATTCTAGGGAGAAAGAAGGGAAAGATTTAAGTGGCAATTAATATCCTCTAACAAGTTTATCTGCTTAAACAGATCTAAATGTTTTGTGTTTACATTCTGAAACCTAATACGTATCATTACGATGAAGAGTTTGGGGAGAAAACAAATCTAGCAAGTTAAACTTTGCCGTCAGCAATTTTGTTGATTATTTCAGTGTTTATGAAAAATATAAGTTTGAGTGAAATTTCCAAATGTTGTGAAAAAGGAACGTAACATTGCATAGCAACAAAAACCACTCGATTTTGATGTTTTGAAGGTGAGCAGTAGCATATACGATGAGGTCGTATGTTATAGAGGTTGGCAGTTTCCAACCTTTGTCCTACAACTTCAGATCAAACTTCCTAATACATATTTATGTTACATTTAACATCTAGTTTTACTCTGTACACATTTCTATCCCAAGGTTTGTTGCCTAAATTTCCCATGCTAGCAACTACCATTTATCAACTGTAAAAATACACTGTCTCAAATAACATTTTCACTAGTCCAAAGCAAGAGAATAAAACTGGTAATATACTAGAATGAAATAAAAAGCTCCAGGTGTGATGTAAGCATCACTTTGCTCATGTAGGTGCTGTGTGAAGTGAACAGAGTACCCCACATCAGTATTTACAGGTGTCACACTTCCGTCCCCTCTGCCCAGTCATTGTGTTCGGGGCCTAGGTCAATTCCAGAAATGGGCCTCCATGTCCATGAGTTTTGACTTTTCTGAATAAACAGGCAATTACATTTTAAAAATGCAGCGAAAGTGACTGAAGGGAGGAGGATAATTCTACAGATTCTTTTTTGGAAACAAGCAAGCTGCCTGGGCATCTCCTCTCCAGCTTTATGTTCTTTAGTTTTGAAGAGCAGAGACCATCTGCTTGCTCAGTTGCTGACCTTACATATGATACAAGAAACACCTCATTTAAAATGATGCTACATTAACAAGTCCCAGTAGGCAACATCCATTGTATACCTGAGTTTGGAGTGTGGGCACATACCAAGATGTAGTCTTATGCTATTCAAATATTAAACACAAATCCAATTAATTACTTATTGAGGGTCTACGAGTGCTCGGGGCATTAAAAGGAAGGGATGCTCTAAAGCTATCAGGAAACCATGTGCTTCGATGAGTACAATTAACTTCTGAGTCTATCCCCACACATAAAATTCTACAGGAAATATGGAACGTTTGAAAAAAAGCCAGGTACTGCCCACAAGTAGCTTAAAATCAAGAAAATATCAGTTTGCTATGTGATTAAGACAAAAACAATTTAGATATCAAAGAAAAAAGATGTCATTACGATTAATATTAATATCGTTCATTCAGTAATTGTATGCTTGTGACGTAAACAAGAGTCAGAAGAATTTATAGTATCAGTGATCTCACAGAACACAGAAAAGCGACAATTTTTTAATTTACTATGTCCCCAGGATCTACCTAGGACAGACTCAGATGGAAGTCAAAGATTTTCTTAGATATAAGAGTAGAATAAGAACTCATGATTCCAGGGAAAGCATCTTTCCTGAATCCAACCTCTGCTAAGATATTTTACAAACAATGTTGCAAAACTACAGACAAATTTAGTAGATTATTATGATGCCAGTAAGGAAGATGTCTTAACTGATGCTCTTTGTCTCTGAAAGCTAGGACTACTGTTGTGAGTAGAGAATTCCAAAGTTATATTGGCTTTCCAGTACTGTACTATTCTCTGTAAGAAAAATCCTGTGCATGCAAATAAATTCATCTTTCAAAAATTAAACTAAAATTAAATTAAATAGATTCATGTTTCCAAAGGGATAACAATCAAGATGCTCAGTCAAAAGCATGAAAGGAAATTTATGCACTGAATGTAACATCCTTATTTAAGAACAAAACTGACCATATCTTTGATGGGATTCTTGCCAACTTTGAAAGCTTTAACAGATTAGAAATATCAAAAAAGAAAATCATAAGAAGCAGGCAGCACAGTTACTCAGGCTAGAAATTAACAAATATTAGCCAGATATTGAAGAAGTGCGTTGTATAATACTAGGTAACAAACGAAGAGCTCACAATGCCTGATGATCTGGTACAGCTCAGAGAAATGGACACAACTACCCAATGTTACCCCAAGCACCAAAGTCACAAACAAACAACAGCAGATTTGTGGACTTGACAAAAGCATCTCCACTGCATGCGTTAGGATCATTTCCAGCAGTGCTGATTTTTAATCTTAGCTTGGGACTTGGTGAATAATTTCACAATTTGGAAAATTTACCAATATGAACCAATACCGATATAGTAGAGTAGAAACATAAACCCTGTAGATATGGAGTTTAACACATTTGAAATAAGAGGTTCATGGTTCCCAAAGAAAGTCAAACTTTGTCTGAAATGACGAAAGAAATGTTATGCCATTTTTTTCTCTGAAGAAACACAATTCACCGTTAGACACTTCTTTGTCACTAAAAGAAAACAAACATGCCGCCAGTAATCCTGGTTGTTCACTGAAGTTTTAACCGGACCAAAATATTTCTATCATGAGCAATTATTACCTGGAAGGCTTGGCAGACATCCGAAACTAGAAGTATTCATTGAAACCCCCCACTTTTTTCCCTCCCTTCCCTTCCCTCTCTTCTCTCCTCCTCCCTTTCCTTTCCTTGGCAGGGATTAAGCCCAAGGCCTTGGTTAGTCTAAGCACAAGCTCTACCACTAAGCTAGTCCCACAGTGCTCACCTTTTAAACCTACCTATTATGCTATTAAATGCAATCTTTCGAGGAATGAAGTATGTCTAAATTTTTAAAAAAGACAAAAGCTGTCAGAAATTTTATAATGCTCGGATACATCATACAAATAATGTTTCAAACAGAACTTGAAAGGTAACTATTATTCCCATTTTTATGAAAAATAAACGAAGTAAACAAAGACATGGTTAACAAGTTTGGTGATGCATGATTCTGTAAGCCGAGAGACCAGGTATATTTTCCAAACCATAATCCAAGTTTATTGCAATTATCCATTATTAAAATGCTTCCTGGTTGGGTGTCAAATGTTTAAAATTCTTCAGGAAAACTTCCCAGAAAGTGAAAGGTGCTAGTTTAGCAATAAGCACCTACTATGGCTAAATCTGTTACGCTTCTCTGCACCAAACAATTTTCAGTTATTTTCATAACTATGCACAAGAATGAAGATTGCCCATAACCAATATCTTTCCAGTGACCTAATGCCTGGTTTATCATTTCTTCATTTTCTTTCTTATAAATATTTTAGTATCAGGAAAATAGTTGATTTATCTGTTGAAGGCAAAGCCTTCACCTTGTTTTCAAACTGGTTCATATTTTCCAAGCGGGGTCTTTTGAAGACCAGGCTTCACCTCTGAACAACAAGATGAAAGCGAAAGTCCTGGAGCTTTGGGAAGTCCTAGTCATGATCAGAACTCGGGTGTGGCTCTTACAACAGCTTCTGAAGTAAGGGGCAAGCTGTTGGAGGCACTGTATTTCCACACCGTTTCCTGCAGGCAGAGGGAATGAGGCTCTGGCGTGTTTCTGCAGGATCAGAAAACCTCTCATGAATACAGAACGAGAGCGAGACACACGACTGAACATCATCACTATGTCTGAGCCATGAAGCACTTGGATCCTATATAAAGGTATGTCCCCAAAAGAGAAAGTAAACAGCACCCTGGCACATACTGGGACGCTGTTCGTGAGGGTGGGCAATGATGAGGGTATCTATGGAAACATGAGACTCATTTACATCACAGAAATCTCAGTGTCATCCTTAGACAATTGCAGGATAACAGTGAGGGTAGAATGGTAGTGAATTAGACTTTCTCCATTGTCCGCCTCCATTATTACAGAAATAATTAATGCTTGGTAAGCTGTGATACAGTCTCACTAAACTCTGAGCGTCTTTGAGCTGAGTAACTATACCTTCAAATAATATCCAAAGACAGAAATAATATTAATTTTAAAAATCACTGCTTATCCCATGACACGTAGAAGAAAGAGCATGAATAGTCTGTTATTCATCTGACCAACGTGATTAACAAAAATGGTAACCAATGTTTACATAAATGACTCTGATTACACTGAGTTTAATGACAACAGAGATCAGTTCTGGTATATATGGTTGACTTTATGGAAGCTGAAATGTCACATATGAACCAAACAAACTCACTGCGTGTGTGTGTGTGTGTGTGTGTGTGTGTGTGTGTGTGTGTGTGTGTGTGGTGTGCACACATGTGCATGCAGATCTTGTTTTAGGGCAGTATCTTTTTACTGCTGTTTCTCCAGAGATAACTCTACTTATAATTTTCAAATCTTTGTAACCAACTCAAAAATATCTTCTGGAGTCATTTTTAAAGCCTGGATCTCACACATGGGAAATTCAACATGCTGATTTAAAAAATTCTTTAATTGCAATTTGTGTCACATTGATCCCTTCCAAAAATAAACAACAAAAACATGCCATTCCTTTTCTCTCTACCTCTGAACTGGCAAAATGGACAGTAATTTTCCTTTTTTTTTTTTTTTTCTCACATGCAATGCAATATGCACCAACTCTAGGTGCCTTAACCTTTTAAATTAACCTTTTCTAAATCTACTCCATTGCTTTATTCAGAACTTCTAAGGGGTCTGTTCACATCTGGATATGCCCTACTGACCATTTCAAACCACCTTGCTCACTGTCAGCAGAATAAGCTTCTAAAACTCACAACTGATGGTGTCCTCCCAGGCTTGAAATTCTCCACGATTCGCTATTCACCAAAGGCGATCAAGCCTACCTTCCCCGCATTACAAAGTCATCTCATGCTTAATTATGTGGGAAACACATCCATGTATATGACTTAAGTGAGCCAGAAAGGAGTTATCTGAAAAAAATAAAGATCGTTCTCTAATGATAAAGTAGCAGAATTGAGCCCATTTCTTCCATGATAGCACCAAACACAGTCACAGATAAACCAAGGCATAACAGTCTCTGAGTTAGTTTTAATTTTGTTATTCACACGGATCAAAAATGGAGAAACCCAACAAAGAATATAAAATAGCAAATTATAACAGATAATAAATCCCCTGAGGCGAGCGCACTAATAGACTTTAACTTCAAAAACTAGAATAATGAAAGGCTAATTACCTCCAATTACCAACTCTCTTCCTCCTATCTCTCTGAGGCAGGACCCAGGCAAAATTAAGGGATACAAAAGAAAAGCCCCAAGTCCACCAATGTGGACATTTACCAAATGGTGGGTATCAAAATACACGGAGGCCCAGTCCAAAGCTTAGGTGGCATTTATACAAAAATTAGCTAAAATAAAGTACCTCCATTCAATTCACAGCTTTTGAACCAGAGTTAAGTAGGTGCTCAAAAAATATGTATTGTGTGAATAGTGCTAGCTAGGGCCAATCAAGAGGCAGAGAAGCTGTCAAAAAGAGGTCACATAATCATACGTGGAATCTTTACACACATATGCACATATTTACACATTTTTGAAAGAGCATACCATTTATATAACATGTAATGCATATTCATTACTGGTTACAATAATAAAGATTGTTTGCTAATTTGTTTTCATAATAAATCTTCAATGTAAGTATCAGAATCTAAATTCATTGCTATGCAAGAAACAATACCCTATGTGTTGGCATTTCCCTTTATGTATTCAAAATATTTTAAGATTTATCATTATGTACCACAAAAATATTGGTGACTTACAAAGTAGACTGTTCAAGAAATGGTCAGACAATTCAACAGCTGTCAAAAAACTCATCAAAAAAGCAAGAATACACCGCAATCCAAAGAAAAATATTGACTGCTGATGGACTTGTTAAGGGTTTCTTGATGTATTTCCTACATTTACAAAAGAGCTCTTTGAGATTTTAATAAATGTTTTTAATAAAACATAGGAAAAGAAACAAATTTAAATATGTGGCACAGAACAAAAATAGTTTTTCTTAACTCATAAGCCAAATCAAAATAGAGAACAAAATTATGTTTTATTTTACAAAATTAGATGGCTGGGTCAGATTTCTTAAAATTCCTTCAGCTCTAAAAAATTACAACTAATGTTGCCAAGTTGAAAAGGTTAAAAATAATTTTGAAAAGAGACACTAAGGACTCATCTATTGACAACATGCTAATCTACGCACAATACGCATTTTGTCATCATTTTGATTGATTCTGGAGTTATTTCTGGATTGACTGAGAAGTGTGAGCACTGCTTTCCTAATATAGTAATGCTGTAATTTATGCCACCAATTTATTACAGCACCAAAATTCATGTTTTCTCCTTATTTGGTATCATTGTGACTGAGGGTGATAATATTTTGTCCTTATAATTACAGACAACTTGGGATAAAACCTCCAGATCTATGTTTCTCTAGGTGGTTCAACTGAAATTTGTATCTTTCCCACCCAAGTTACTTATTTATTTATCTCAGGCAGGACAAATTCCATCTTCTTTTGTCAAACCCCAAACCCTTATCATTTCTTGCTGCCATGCAACTGGTTACCAAAGTTCAATGAACCCAAATCCACTAAAACTGCTTCAATTTCAGAATCGTATTACAGCCTACACAGAGAATATGCATATATTCATTCATTTGAAAAAAGGGTTACAAAGCCCCATATATGCGAGGACCACAGGAATGTGAATTTGCCACTATGAGTATAAAAAAAATTTTGAAAAATCAAATAAAGAATAACAAACAGGAGGAAGGGGTCAGGAGAAATGATTCTGATTGTCTAAAATATAAAGCCCAGATTATTTCTGTGTATTCAAGATTCCTCCATAAATGGAGTTTAGTTAATTTTTAGTAAGGAACACCCATTTCTGAAACATATATCCCAAGATACCCAACAAAGAACTGATCCTTTCTTCTACCTCTGCATACTTCTGTTTAACAAAAATAACAAAACAATACAAAACAAAAAAGAAACAAATGAAAAAGTACACTAGGCATGTTCAATAAATTTGAGAGAAATACTAAGTTTACCACAGCTTAGGCCATGTGACTTGAATTACATTGATCACACTGAGTTATTTCTCTTTGCATAGTAATCAGTGAAGTCCATTTATTCTGAAATGGCCCAAGAGTGCTGCTTTTGACAGAAGTATGTGATCCCCCATCATCTGGATTCATTCTGTAACCAGCTAGTTAAAATGCATTGAAACTACTTGAGAAATAAATTTCAAATGAACTAAAAAAGGAAACTTTTACTCAGGTGTGAGGAAATCTCGGACTCTGAGACCACCTCCGGATAATGTTGCATGAGGTGATGAGGTTGGCAAATTTATAAGACAGATTGTATGTCTTCATATCCAAACAGACAACCACACTGTTGATCATTGTGGAAAATGTACGTCCTTCTGTATCAAACAAACTCACGTAAATAAGGGTGAGACAGAAGACAGTTCCATGGCATCTGTGGAATGCTGCCAATGTTATTGTCACCTTCAATTAGCATGTGTGGTTATTTAAATGACAGAACTATACCAAATCAACCAGTGCACAAAAAGATGAAGAAGTGCCTTATGAAATATAAAGCTGTCCACAACACATCTGAAATATAACCTAAACCATATTTAAGTACCGTTGCTGTGAGCATGGTTTCACTTAGAGTGCAGACAGGATGGTAAATTATCACACATTCCAGTAACACACCCTGGGCTCCCTTTGAAATCATGGTGGTAATATTTTTAATACACAAGAATTCTTACCTGAAGCTAGTTATAAAACACAGGAAAACCCATGTGTGCTGAAACTGTTTTAATGTGTGACACAACCACATGCTTTGCCACTTTTTCTAAAATGTCAACTGCAAGTGACACCTTGAGAGCATAGCTTCTTTAATAGACATTACGCGTGGCTCTGTCACTGAATGGTCTGAAATTCTGAAGCCTTTTGGTCTACCCATCCTACACACCCACACATGTACACGCGAGCGTGTGTACACATACACACTCTCATTCTCTAAAATTTTTTCCTGAATCTTCTTACTTTTACAAATAATACATCATCTACCTACTTCTAAGAGCTATGTATTTATTTAAAGTGTCTCTAAATCAGTTCTCACAAGGTAATCTGACAAGGCATCAGGCAAAAATTTCATGAAGCCTGTTTACCTACCAGAGTTTTAAGCCTGTGGAGGGAAATCTGAAAGATTTTAAAACACAGAGACTTAAAGACTGAAAATTTGTTTAGACGTAGAAGCTTCCCAATTAAAAGTATGACTACCGTTTCAAAATGCTTTCCTCTAAATGGGTATTTTTCTTTATTTCTTATTTTAGAAAGTTGTATACCAGTGAAAGGCTGAAAAGTTTTAAAACTGTAAAGCCTCCAATAATTTGTCAACAAAGACTGCCTTATGAGTCAAATTTTTCCATGAAGACTGTTTCTCTGAACTGTGAATATTTGTATGATGCTATGCACAGCCCTCTGACAGTTATTTATGAAATCATTCAAAACAAGAAGAAAATAACGCCATAAATGATGTTAATGATCTAAATGATTAGGGTCAAATCAGAAGATCTTGAAAGATTTTCCCCAAAAATACACGTTAAAAAATATATATATAACATTTATAAATATATACATATATATTACCAGAATCGAGTTCAGGACCTTACACTTGCCAGGCAGGCACTGTAGGGCCAAACCATATCCCCACCCCTATAATTTATAAATGTGTAGGAGAAAATGTATAGAATATAGAAACACATAAGGTAAAAAAGGAGGGTTACTTCTCATATTCTGGTTATCCACAGGCCTAACAAGTTAAGTTAGTTAAGTTCTGAGATTAATGTAGTTGTCACTGTCAGACACAATTTACAACTGAAGATTATTTCTAAAACCGATTTTGTGAGTCAAACTCACTGTTTCTCTTTGTAGAAATCAAATAATCTTTAATGGCATTCACATCTTACATTTCACAGATGTATTTATGGAACAATCTTTCACTGTTATTATTATACTGTCTAAATCATTATATTCAAAGCATTTAGAGAAAACACTCAAATAACTCATTTAGTTGGAGGAAAAATTAAGTGTTGGTTTAGATTTTTAATACAGTTACCTAAATTCAAAGTAATTGTCTGAATCTTTAAAAAAAAACTTGATAGCAATAATCAGTTTTTAAAAGTATATTTGGCAGCTATCGGCTATTTTTCCCTTATACCTACTCTTTGTACTGTGTAAGTAGTTTATCTGTACCAAGTTAAAGAATGAGACACCTCTGTAAAATGTTTACAACCAACATCTGTCCCGTTTCAAAGCTCACACGTATTTCTTCATGATTTTACAAAGCACAGAAACGAAACAGCATTTGGTCAGTTTCTGAGTTCACACTCTGCTCTAATAAACGTGGAGTGGGAGGAGCAAGCAGGCGGGTTTGAAAGTCTACCTAATTTCTGGCTTTCAAAAGTACATAAAAAGCATGATTTGGACAAAAGCTAAAAATGCTTTGTTTTATCTCTCCCTGTCCAGTCAGTAGCAGAAATTAGAGCTGAAAACCCAAAGATGCTGTACTCATTCCTGTTCACGAGGAACCGATCTACTGTCTGTCTGCAAATAAATCTCCTCGGTAAATAGCTCCAAGGTTGAGCTAAAGAATATTGTATGGATCAAAGAATTCATGTCTTTCTGTGTAAAGCGAACAGGCTGCGAGCTCACTTGTTTGTCTAAAACAATTAGAGGTCGTAGGAAGAGGAGGAGGCCAGGACAAATAAGTTACAGCTGATTTTACTCTGCAAAATATTTAAGGGGGGTTTCAAATTAATAACCATCCCAGGCCCCCAAACAGGCTAATCTTTGTCAATTGGTGCCAAATTATGCAAGGTGCCGCCAATTCTAGTTGTCTAACAAATCAAGACCAGTGTATATTACTCCTTGGCTGAAGCCTGATTGATTCTGGTCATTATATGGGCTGATCGCATTTTCACACATGGAATCAATATGGGAGCCAGATGTTCATTCGCAGAGGAGTGCAGAAACAGCTCATCTACACGCAGCTCCATCCCGGGCCGCGGCACCCCAGACCCGCACACACGCCTCACCCCTGCAAAGCTGCACGCAAGTACCAAATCCATAAAACATCCCGCTAATATTACTGTCAGCTGAATGACTTTTACAGTTCTATATAAAGTTGACAGATAATACATGCCAGTCCTAATTTGAGATAGACCTTTTCTTCTGGGACCTCAACCACTGAACAAGCAAACAGATTGAGAAGTAACATTTATTACAATGCATAAATCATTTTCTACAGCTCCTATAGGTCTGGCCTGAGGGTGAAGCCTCAGCTAGCCGTGAATCCTGATGCCCTGCTTGAGTGTCTAAAAGGAGTGTGCAGAAAAGAGCTTATCTAGCTTTTTCAAAAACAAGTCTTTATCGGGATAATTGTCACGCTTTCTTCCTTGAAAACTGTGCAAATAATCTGCCATCCTGAAAGAAAAAAAAAATCCCATTTCCTAACTGTAAGATCCAACTGTAGCATACCATTTCAAAGAAACAGACATGTCCAGTATTTTATTTCATGAAGAAATTACTTCATGGTTTCAAATGAGAATTAAACTTGAGTTTATTGCAAGGATGTATGCAACATGTTTCATTTTGAAGACAATAAATATTATATATCATCATTATAATGGAGTCAGTACACAAGGTATGAATCTTTTTAGTAGGTAAAAAAGTTATTTTAAAGATTAAACATGGTAGGTAGGGGGCTGGGGATTTAGCTCAGCAGCATAAGCGCCTGCCTTGCAAGCAGGCAGTCGTGAGTTCGATTCCTGGTACCGATAAAAACAGAAAAAAAAAAAAAAAAAGATTAAACATGGTAGAAGGATTTCAAATTTGAGCCCAGCTTGGGTAACTCAGCAACCTAGCGAGACTTTCTCTCATATTAAAAAATAAAAGAAGAGCCAGGGGCACAGCCCAGTGCTAAGGCCCAGGGGTCAAACCCCCTGGGCCTAAAAATCCACCAAAAAACCCCCCAAAAATATTAGACACAGTCAAATATGAACAATCAGCAGAGAGGTGCAAGTATCCTTCCATTCTTTTTAGAGACAGCTGACATAAAAATTCCACAAACCTCCTCTACAAAACATCACCTTAGTACCCGTCTGAGCAGATGAATCTAATACGAATTCCCCTGGTACTTTTCCTATATGCCACTTGGAGACACATGGGTTACCTAAGCTTGTATTTTGTAACCATTTGTTTTCTTCCACCATTTCGGCCTTTGTGGAGTCTTCTAATTGCATTTAGTCCTGTTCAGTCCTGCTTAAGGATAATCCAAAGGATGTCTGTTTTTCATCAGGTAACGACCATTCAATCTGGCTGCATTTCCTTCTACATCTTGTTGAATGGCACAAGAAACAGAAGCTAAAAAGCCTTTTCTTTATAACTCTGCTATGGTTGCTGAACCCAGGATTTTCTACAATTTTTGCTCATTTGCTGCAGAACTCTGAGGCCAGATCCAATTGGAAAGTAGTCTAAATGGTCTCCAAACGTTAGCCTACCCTGAGAGGGTACACATCCTGGGAAAAACGGACACTGAGCATTTCTGGAAAAGATCCCAAATGTGAACTTACATTTATGCAGCATTTGGGAGGGCCCTTATTCCTGAATTAAAAACATTGGCCAATCTAATATTCCTCCTGAAATCCTCTGTGGCTCCTTAGACCAAGTAAGTGTGTACGGGTTAGTAACAAACATTTCCATGTTTATTTTTCTCCATATGACAACATTCTAGAAAAGTCATGATAAATGAACTTATGGGGTATTTCCCTTAAAATTAAACTTAGTTTTTTCATCTCTTCAAAGAAGCAGAGGACTTCTTAATAGAAGAACAAGACCTCTTTCCATGAAGATGCTTGGGACAAACCAACCAATGATGAAAGCCATAATGATCATTCATTTATTTGTTTGTTCATTTATTATATCTGGAGTACTTCCTAGGTACTGGGCAGGAAAACAAAAGCTGAGGGTTCAGAGGCAAATGCAACATGGACACAAGCCGTCCAGGAAAGGGCTGGACCTCACAATCCACCTGCTGCCTAAATACTGCAGGATCTAACAGTACATACAACACACAGCGAGTGACAGTTTAGGCCAAATATTAATCAACCCAACTGAATTTTTGTTATGATTATTATTTCTATTATCTGTGACATAGTATGTAGGCTAACTAAATTTTTTGTCATTGTATAGAAACAACAAGAGCCATAAACCAAATAGAATTTTCAACAGAGAAGCTTCAAAGAGATTCATTCATCACAAGAAAAGAGTTATTTTTAAAATATGTGAAAGGAAAGAACCTGCTTATGTCCTGACAAGACGAACTGGACCTTAGGGATTCTTTACTCTGCAGTTTCAGCAACATACCCAGTGTCTCCTGGGTGCTTCAGAATTCTCTCTGCAGTGGACGCCTTTCTCCCCAGTGCTCCAGCCCCACTCAACTGCCCTGTTTGCCTCTGCTGTGACCTAAGAGTATTTATTATTTCACAGCTTTTCAAGGGCCTCCTTGTCTTACTCCACCCCCACCTTCCCAGCGGATCACTGTCACGGAATTAATCTGCAAAAATCATCTCTCTCATTTGAAAATTTCAATGGCAATACTCCAACTAACAAGCAAAATTGAATTTCTTAGCCTGATGTTCTAGGTTTCTAGCTTCCCATCTTCTTGCTCAAGAGGAAGATCACTACATTCAAACCATGTGGCTCTTCCTGCAGCATCCACGCTGCACCCAGTTGATCCCACTTACATCTTTCCTATCCTCCAAAGCTCCACTTCACCACAGCCAAAAGAAGCCTCATCCGTATCCAAAGAATCATAAACCAAGCTCACCTGACTGTGCTGTATCCTTTGCTTTTTCCTTGAAAAAAACACTGCAATTTTACACAGAAAAAGAAAAATAACTGAAGTATAATTTACACTAGGGAACTCTGAAGGAGGTTGATTCCCTTTAAGAAGCGAGTTGCATGAAATAAAGGAACCTGTCCGTGGCTCCTGATAAATCACACAGAACCGCGAACACATACAGCCAAGCGGGCTTGATACGGACTTTAATCTTCATTATACATTTCCGGTGGTCAAACAAAGAGCTTCTAAGGCATCTTACAACTGTGCAGCTCCAGATACTGAACTGATTGATATTCACGCCAGAATGCGGGTCATCCCTCTATAATTCAGGCTTTCATCCCCAAACTATGTATCTGTTCTTCCTAAGTTATAAATCTTAAGCCATAAACTTGTAAAGTTATAAACTATAAGCCAGTTAGGAATACAATTCAGTTTTCTTGAGTTTGGTCTCCTACGCCCTTAGAAAGCCATCCAACTTCCAACAGTGGCAGTGCTCCTCAACCCTCAATTTGTTATTGAAAGATATTTTCATTAAGATTGAAAATATTTTGCATCACGTCATGCTTCAGTTTTGACCTTGTCTTTTCCCAAAGTGTTTCACATCTTGAGAAGAAATCCCTTCTTTTTCCTTTCTTATGCAGCTCAACAAGTCCACTGAGAATTCAACACAGATGTCACGTTGCCGTATTTATCAATATTAGGTAATTCCCCTTGCCATAAGCACTGGCAGGAAAGCTATCTATCCTTTATCTCCAATCTGAATGTCAAGGTTATCAGAATTAGTTCCGGATGCAGATGTTAGAAAGCCTCATTCAACTAAAGAAATAACGTAAAAGATTTCAGGAGGTAGTTAAGCAATATTCCATCACTAACTCATGCACCTGTTTCAAGGACGAGTTATCCGTCTTATAGAAGTCTGTTTACTTTCTTTTTCCTCCTGTAGAGCTGTCCTTCATCAAACTGTTTGGTCTCCCTTTTGAGTGCACTTCTGCAGACAGCACACATGTCAAGCCTTCATAAAGTATATCTCCTGCCAAATACAAATTTAGTGTCTTCCCGGAGAAAGTAAAGGGGCACAGACAGACTCCAGGGAAAACAAAGATTTTTGCCTTTTTCAAAGCAGAGTGTCCACCAGGTGTAGTTGCATACGCCTGTAATCCCAGCACTCAAGGAAGCTGAGGCAGGAGGATCACTGTGAGTTCAAGGCCAGTCTGTACTACATAGAAGACGCTGTCTCAAACGTTCAAAAACTATATAATAAATAAACCCCAAACAATAAAATAAAACAAAACAAAAAAACCCAAAGCAGACTGTCCACTTGAATAAAATGTTCTAGCTCATTCAAATATTATATTAACTTTGTTCAAAATAAACATATACTTTTACCTGGAAATCTTTTTCTCAGGAAACAAACTAACCAAAATGCTACCTATGAACTTCACCAAACTTTCTGGGGAAATACTTCTCCAATTTTCTTTTGGCACACACAATAATAACCCACAGACCTAGCTGAGTATCTACCTTACTTTTTTTTTTGGTACCAGGGATCGAACTCACAACCTTGCGCTTGCCAGGCAGGTGCCTACACCACCGACTTCCAAAGATACCTAGCTATGATCCATTCCACGACAAAAAAATTTCTAGAGTAAATCTAAAACCGTATCTAGTGGTCAAATCACAAGTAGATCATAGGACAAATTTAAAAGATGGGTAAGATACCTCTGACATACAAACTACACTTGACTAAAGAGATCTACACTTAAAATCAAATATACTATTATCATATACAAACATATCTGCATATAGCTAAGCCTTAGTATATGAAAATAATATAAAATACAGCTCACATAAACCAGAGTTCTGTGCTTCAGAAAATCACCACCACCTCTGGTCACTGCTGCTGCCCCTACAGAATGAAAAGTTACCTTCATTTTCAAATCATAGCAAGGTTTGTGGCCCTCTGAAAGGGTATGTAAGAATTTCCATTTAAAATTTTCTATTTTCAGGGGTTTATAAAAGCTATAAAAATTCTCTCCAAACTAAAACTTGGCAAACAGGAACTCAGCATGAGGACATTTTTTTAAAGCCTAAATTTAAAAACAGTATGTTCGTGTAATTTTTTTTTTAAGTAATAAGAAGTCCAAAAAGGACAGTTTTTTTGGTTTTTTGGAGGTTTTAGTTGTATTTAAAAAAAAAAAAAAAAACTTGCATTCCACAGGAGCTAACTTGTTTGTAAAAATGAAAATCTGAAGATCGTAAATTCAAATTTTGGCCCTATTATTTCCATGAATGACATAAACTAACATCCTCTAAAAAGGACCCTAAAATGAAGGGTGAATATTTATTATTCTCAAAGGATCATGTTCACAAATAACTCAAATTGCCCTCCAATACTGATGCAAAAGATTTTTTAAAGTACTACACATGGCTTCTTCTTTTTTTATAAAAGCTAAACAGGCACATTCAATAAAGTCCAACAAGTCAAATAAAAAAATACTGTAATATATTTATATGAATGATGTATTTATTTGGCTTTATCAATCACAACTTTAAGATTTGGGTCAAAACTTAACCCCCCTAAAGTTGGTGGATGGTAAAATAATATTAGTGTACTGTACTTGTCTACAAAAACACATCATAAATATATGTTCTAGTAAGATTAGTATATATTGCTTCAAAGACAATTTTATAAACACGAAAAGTTTAATTTCTGTTTCAACTCCAAAACCAGGCAGCCCCCGCTCCACCTTAAATGCTGTTAAGAGTACAGAAATGACACACAAACCATTGAATAAGTCACGCTTCCTATTCTTACAATAAGCATCACCTTGCAGAGGACCTAGTCACACAAAACATAAAGCACCTGTACCGCACCCTCTTAAAAACCCACTACAAAAATATTTTCAGGAAATACAGTTTGGGTCGGCCTCTCCTGTTTTCCTCCACACTCTGGGATTAGCAAAGATCCAAGCAGATACTCAAGACACATGAATATACTAACAGAAGTTAAATATAGCTTTTGGAAATACTATGTAACATGAACCTAGTTGCTTTAAACTCATGTAAAAAACATGAAATACTAATTTAAGAGAAGCCCAAATGGTGGCCCTCTACCTAAGTCAGCAAATGACCACTGTTGCATCCTGCCTCGTCCTCCTGGGGACTTACAGTCTTGGGTATCATCGTTCTTTTCTTTTTTACACCATCTTTCATTTGCCCACGGCTTATACCAAGATCTCTTCCATGCATGTGGGGTGGTTGGCTACCCACTCAACGCCCATACTTTGGGCTTCTTAGGAAGAAAAAAAGAAATAAAAAGAGATTTTCTTTTTTTGTCCGTGTACTAGGTCCGTCTTATTTTTATCTACTTTAAAGCCTTCTCCCTAACAAGTAAAACAAAGATTAGTAAATTATGACCCTGGACCCAATCCAGCCAATGTCTGTTTTTACAAATAAAGGTTTACTGGAGGCAAGCAAGGTCCATTTTATTCTTGCCTATGACTTGCAACAGCAGAGTCCAAGTGAGAGAAACCATGTGGTCCTTGAAGATTAAAACATTAAAAGCAGAAAAGTTTGTGTTCTCCTGGGCAGGAGAATTATTTCTGGTTTTGTTCATGTTTCTCTCTCTTATCAGAACTGAGTCTTCCTGATCCTCTGTCAGGCACATTCCTATCTTATCAGGGCCTTCTGATGACAAGTGCCCTGGGGTAGGTAGGACGCATAAAAAGCTGCATGGTGGCTATCATCATATCTGAAGGGCTCAGAGCATGCCTCCCAGGGGCTCTATGCAATGACTTAGGCACCTTAAGTTTGGAGAGTCTGCACAGAAGGAATGTTCACACAGTGTCCTGGATGGAGACAGTCCTTATGTCATCTGAAATCAAGTGTAACAGATACACTGGGAGGAGCTGGGGATGGAGCTCCATTGTGGAGTGCTTGTCTGTGAGTAAGGTCCTGGTTCCCTCCTTAGTACAGCAAAAAGACAAATAAACAAAGGTATCCTGGAGGACATTTTATTCAACTGTTCTATCTGCAGAGCACACTTAGGTCCATTCTTTTCCTAATAAGTGAGATGATCAACTCCCTGGGTTTCTAAGAACAGTGTTTTCATTTTGGACATGAGCCCTGGCTCCACAGCGCCACACGGAATAAAGAGGAGGAATCTTGGGCTGCATAAAAAACATGTCATACAAAGCTTCGCTTAGTTTTCTACTTTTTAAATTATGATGGAAGTCATTAAGAGAGACTGACTTAGTCAGATGTCACAGTTAGCCTATGACATTATGCCCCAAACCCAGGTCCACTTGAGAGTGGGGGTCAAATAGTAGAGAAGGAGTTTCTGAGAGAGTCCAGAGAGTCCTGGGTCCACCCACTGTGTGGTGTGGGCTGCTTTATGGGGCCCCTACGTCTTCACTTCTGTATCTGACAAATGGGAATAATAATCTTACACTCATCTTACCGTGTGATTGGAGGCGTGAAGTCGGTTAACACAGGTAAAATCCGGGGAGCACACGCACACTATCCCTTCCTGTTTCTTTGGTTTCCTGTTCTTCCCCACCCTTCTTTTTCCCTGATATGAAACATATTTTGCATACATCAGATTAGCCCAGTTTTAGGGCACAGTTGAGTTTTAGAACTCAAAAATAAGAGCACAAGTCTATCAACCTTACTCTGGTTTGGAACACTTCCCTGCTGAGAGACACCAGCCTTGTCTACCTTCCCAGAAAGCTCTCTTTCTTCCCTTCCTAGGATGAAATTGCTGCCTTGGGGACACTAAAACCTATGGCTCCCTTTGCAGTCTCTGCTGAGATCACCTCTCTCCTGTCACTTGCCGATCTTGCTCCCAGCACGGCCGTCCTTAGCTCCCTGCTGCAGGTCTGCCTCATGGCTATGCCCTGCACTGCTTCCCCAGGTCCAAGAGTGTCGCAGAAATCTGCAATGCCAACTCCCATAATTTCACCTTAGAATTGCAGTCTTGATTAATTCACAACCCTGTCTTGTCTCCTACTGGCAGGAAATGAATGCCAGGAAGAATTAAACTAGCTGTGATCAGATGGATGCCTGGAAAACTTAGAAAGGAGCAAACGAAGTGGGCTTTCAAAATATAAATAAAGAATATTATTTTGATATAAAAAATCAACTATGAATCACAATGAAAATGCTATGTTTACTACTTTGAGAATCGTCACTGGAAATCAGGGAGCTGAATGAAGTGTTTCAAATTTGTTTTATTTGATAGGAACAAACACTTCAACTGGGACCCCTTCTCCTTATGCCATGACCTCCTCCTCCTCCTCCTCCTCCTCCCAAGACGTTAGGATTACGAACAATGTTTAGATGTTCACTGTGTTACTTCGAAAATTTCCTTAAGTCATTAATAGAGTGACTAAACGTGACATACAAAAGATAATCCGTGAATAAATTCAAGCTTACATAGCAATTCTGTTTCTGGTTAACACAAAGTACTTTTAATTTTGCAGTGAACTAGTAGATGACACAATTCCAAATATATTCTATCCCATGCTTTCAAAAAATGTAAGGCAAAGAAAGAAAAATTCTATAGCTAAAATTACTTACTGGACACATCACATTCCAGCTCATGACTGCTGTTGTTACAAGAGCGTTAGAGAACCATGTGTGAACTCCACGGTAGGAGAAACAGGATGCTTCTTAGTGATCGTTTATCATGTTCTTCCTGGATGACAAAGACTATTATAGCCCAAGACTAGAAGGGAATCTCCAGTGAGGACCAAGTTCTTTTTAGAGAAAAGTAAGACAGATGGCAAAGAAGAAAAATTTGTCAGACGAGACAGCAGTGACTCTTCCAGGATACAGAGTGTCCTGGGGAGTCAGAGCTGGAAGACACAGGCACATCTTCCTTATCTAAACTCTCTCTCCACTACCTGATGTCTCAAGATTACCAAGATGCTCACAGAAGCAAAGTAGATCTCATTTTCTCAGCGTTCCTAGAGTCAGAGGCTTAGCCAAACACAGCAACAGTGACAGCTGTCCTCAAAAAGTTAAGATTACAGCCAGGTGTGGTGGTCCAAGCCTGTAATCCGAGCACTCTGGGAGGCTGAGGCGGGATGATCACAATTTAAAGCCCATCCTGGGCAACTAAGCAAATTAGAGACTCAGGGACACTATCTCAAAACAAAAATTAGTATCTCTTTTTCTACGAATGTGATTAATTTAGCATGTGACCTTAATAAAGGCAGACCAAGAGATCAACATCTTCCTGAGGTTACTGGCCTAAATCAGGATACAAGGAGTCTGTTAATAGACCCATATTTCTTATAAAGGTGACTAGTACTCCATGTTGAAGTTATAGTCTGAATAAACTCTATTTTATTCCATGAATGAAGAAGAATTAGTGTAGATTAACAATAAATGTCAAAAGTCACACGGGTCAAAAGAGGATTATTCACTCCCACGACCATGAAGATGAGAAGTCTGTTCTGTAATTGTCATGGACAAAAGGATGCAAAGAACAGGCCACTGCCTCACACGTGCTTAGATTTAGCAGTATCCTTAAAAAACAGTAAAAGGGTGTATTTCTAGCCATCCAGTTAAAAATTATGTAGAATGGGTTTTTTTGATTGCTTATTCAATAATTAAGTCCTCCAGATCTTCTACAGTACTTCTAACAAGAGGGCCACTTTGCTACAAAAAGGGTGTCTGGGAGTATCTGGAGACATTCTTGATTATCACAAGAGGGGCACGAGGTGGCACTGGCCACTGGCATGGGGAGGCTAGCGAGGCGGCTGAGTGTCTTACCCCACACAGGAGACTCCAGGACGAAGAACAATCTGGTCCAACACAGGAATAATGCAGCAGCCATCTGAGAACCTGCTGCCATCTAAACCCTACCCATATAAAACCAAGCCGAACAGCATTCTGAAAGATGAATCGCAGCTTACTAATTTCCATCTCACACTAGCAGGGATGACAGATTTGGGTGTCATTGCCAGACATCGTTTATTAGGTGACCCTCTCAATCAGCTCAGTCAAAAGTGCACGTTGGCGTGCACAGGAGGTTAAAGAGTGTAAGCACTTAGGAGGTGGGTAAGCGCCAGGAGTTCAAGGCCAGCCTGAACTACATAGCAAGATCCTGCCTCAAAAAGGCAAAATAGATCAATAAATAAACATAAGCAAAATTACACGGGGCTCAGACCAGCACCATTAATCTTAGTCCCAAACCAGTGTTTTTTTTTAAGTATATAACACTACATCACAGAAGTGAAACACTTTCACATGTTTTTGCAGTGTATCTAAAATTAATAAAATTCAACATAAAACAATAGAAGTGGGGGGAGAAAATTATATTTAACTTGTTTTTGCAGAGAAGTTTGAAAAACTCCTTGGTCTATATTTTTAGATATATATTTTTTAAATATACATATTATAGATATAGATATATATTATAGATATATCTGTATTTTGCTAAGTGTAAAAAGTAATAGAGAGCTGTTTATATGCTTTTTAACTAAAATATGTGAGCATCCATACAACTCTAGATCACTCTGCTCACCAGAACAAGGAATATTTTCTACTTTGATATTCCTAACAAGTTGTCCTGTAAGTTTCAAAGTAGAATTCATTCACTGAATTCTTATTATCATTTAGACAGATATCTTAATTACTATCTTCTTCAAATCATGTAAAAGCCTCACTTTTAACAGCTCCGCGTAAATATCCTCCTTCCCAAGAAGATACTTCTCTTGTGATCACATGAAGAAAACAGATCAGATAATCAGTTTGAGCCCTTGTGTCTTATGCAATTTTTACACTCTTGTTATTAAAAGAAAAAAAAAAAAAAAAAACAGAGCAAAGATGCCAAAATATGCCATAGGAGCTCTGAAAAGCTAATTAGCAAGACAACACTAAAACAATAAAAATAGGAGTAAACAGCTTTTGTGTTTCAGTTGCAAAGAAAATGTCAGTTAATGGTATGAATGAATGTGTGATAAACAGCCTATTATGTGTATTTGCATCAAAGAAAACAACTTTAAAGTATAGTTTGCATCTAAAATGCATTAAAGTCAAAAGCTCTAGATTCTGATTTCCAGAATCAGAATGAAAACGAACAAAAGTCAAAGACCTGATGGTCTTTCTTAAGAGTCAAACCTTCACCGGCAAGCATGCTAGCTAGACTCCAAGCCAGGGACCAGGACACAGGGACTCTTCAGTGGAGCAGCTTTTGGGCATTCTGCACTTCCACCTCCTGCTTGGCTGAGCTGCTCCACAGTTGTATCTGTGTGGATTGGATGTCACCTGTTTAGCTTCATTTGTAAGATATCATAACAGACCTGGAGCCACAAGAATCATTAGGC